TTTTAGCTCCAGAGATATTAAGGGGTACACTTACTTTTTGGATGACCCTTGTAGTTCGTTGCCAATCGGTTGTGGGTTCCAAATTTTATCCCCAGCGGTAACAGATTTTTAAGGACACCTTAAAAGACGTGGTTGTGATCATGGATAAACATGTCATTTTAAAGTCCTGCCATCTCTTACAGGCAACATGGTGGGAAAGAGACATGGCCATCTGATATTGCCTAAAACTAAAAATTCGTGTTGGCGCTAAACCAACCAAGTGTTAGTTATTTCCTATTGATCTTGGTCCTTCTGCTTTGTTTGGCTGTGTTGTGAATTAATTTTAGAGCTCTTTTGGTGTGCGTGATAGCCAGCATCACCAATCAGTGAGAGATCAAAGTAAAAGTCCAACTCCCTGAGGGCATGACCATGCTGTAAAATTCCGCACTTAGTAGCATCTTTTAGAATTGTTGATACTGTCTATTGTTGGCATATCAGATGATCACTTGCAGAAAACGTGATTCATATCTTAGCATCAAGCTCAATATAAAGAGTACGACCCAATGTCAGGGTGCTTGTTTGTGAATTTCTGTCAGTTCCTAGGCTCCTGAAGGATACCTTGCCAGTACTGCTCAGCCGCTACTGCTATTGTCATTTAACTGAAAGCTTTTGCTTGCATTGGGCCTACGAAGCTTTTCTCTGATAATGAAATCCTGTTCAAAGTTATCATCAGAATGGCCGAATGAGTCGCCTAGAAAAAATAATATCAGTAATTTCTATCATTTTTTGAACACTGTGTAAATACTTAACTTTTTGCTGATTTTAGGTGTGCTACTTCTGATCAATTTGTTTGCTATTTTATCTCCCCCCCCCCCCCCCNGCTCGCAAATCTATTTGTGTAGTATACAAATAAACGAAGTCTCGATTTTTTTATCTGAACTTTCAAAGTAAGAAGCCTTTTGGCTCATTGAATACATGTAATTACTGCAGTGAAGAGTTTGATTATACAAAGCTTCCATCAGTATTATTTAGTCACCAATAGATGCAAAATGTGAAGCAATGTTTTCAGTTTACCCTTCTATCGCTCATTTTTTCTCCTAACCTTTGAGGGCTCAGCTGTAAATCAGAGTGGCTCAAATTGTTTTTCAACTTTACCTCTCTTTCCCTGATGTGTGGCATCGAGTTCTAGATAATGTCTTGTAAATATGAAGACGATGTAATGGACCACTAGATATAAAGTACAAATCTGCAGGCATAAGGTCCATTCTGATTTGTGCTTTCTCCTCCCAATCTCTTGCAGAAAACGATTTGAGCAGCATAAATTACTGATGTTAACTCCTGACCAAGGTAATAACATCACTATTCAGCATTTGTCACGAAAAATTTGAATTTCCCGCACACAAGGGAAATTAGAGTCTACGTGAATCAAATCGTGCACTACATATGTACAACGATTTTGGTAGGCGTTCGGTAGAAGTACCCCTCCCTTGTCTTTGTTGTTCAAAATGTAAGCGAGATTCATCAGCCATAGCGTCGAGATTGAAGTTGCAATGTTTTCACACAGCAGAGACTGCTATGGTAACATTTAGTGTGCTGTTTAACTCAAGTAGATCATGGTTTTTTCATGTGCAGGAAGTTTGCATTTATGCATTCAAAAATGTTAATACCTTAGTTAAAAGTTACTTTCAATAATTCCTGTAGCACGAATTGTGTTCTACAAGAATTGTGTTGAGAAAACATTTAGCATGATGCTCAAATTTGCGCCTTACTTAATAAACCATTGGGAGAGAATTTTTCAATATATTGTAACCAAAATCGTGAAGAATTGTTGCTTCTTCTCTCTTCCTCTTTTTTATCACGTATTTATCAAATACGTAACTATATTTTTCTTTGATATTTTGCTACCTATTTTCATTATTATCACATTGTCATGCTGCTTTTCAAGCCCATAATATTGTGAGCTTATGTTTATCTACCTCTTTTTTAACTTACTTATTTCATTTTGATCAATTTTGTGAAGAATTTATTCACTCAGTATATTGAAAAGATGTCAATATGTGCCCTGGCATAGGTAGGCACACTTTTCCGCTTGAATGAACTATACCAACAGTATTTTTTAGTATTATATATCGGTTCTATTTATGATTTCTATTGTATTTTGTAGTGAATGCCAATTGATTTCAAAATGAAAAAGTTTATTTGCTGAGGAGAGAATAGTTTTTGCAATGTTGTTTGTGTCAAGTCTTCTTTTTATGATATTTTTTGTTGGTTAGTTTTTTCAGCTGGTGATTTTTTTTTTTTTTTCTAACGCGTTTACAAAATGAGCCGCCTTGGCGATCATGTCCACCCCCTACTCAATACAGTGTCCTGAGGACCTTGGTTTTTTGTCAGAGAATGTGTACCGGGCTGGCTTCAAATTTTTGTAAGCTTGTCAAAATGTTACTAGTGCTTCAACCTCTAAGGTTAATTGATTTTCGTCTTTCTCTGTAGTTTTTTATTTTACTTACTAGAGATGAATGAGACTTTATCATTTAATTTTTTTTAAAATTTAAAATACCGTGTGCCAGCGATTTTGAACAAAATCAGCCGTTTAGTCATCCTTGAATATGAATATCACTTCATCAGGGTGTTTAAAAGGCTACTGCCGAGTTGTTTCCAAGAGTGCTTATACTCACAAAGGTGTTTCTCAGATGAATTTCTTGAAATCTGAGATAACTTAAATCGAACTGATGAGATTTTCAGTTTATTTAAGTCATAATTTATTTTTTATCTTATGACTTGAGCAGCAGTGTATAACTTCAAAGTTTGCAATGAACTTTGGGAGTCGCAGATTTTGTCGCACAGATTCACAGATTCAGTCAGATGTCTGACTTCAACCTTTTAATATGGAAAATAAAAACTTTCAAGCATTAAACATGGTGAAAAATTGCTCTTTAGGAACAGTTGGGATGGTGGACGTCAAGATCAGTCGTTTGTTTAAAACGATTGATTGATTCAATCCATGAAATCCAAATTAAAATATTAAGCAGTCGAATTTCTATGTTCGCGGTCTTTGCGGTGATGTTGTCCTTGTTCATATTTCTTGTTGGAGACAAAGCTGTCAAGCCTCAAGCCTTGATTTACTTGCACAATCCCAAAGTTGTGAAGCATACTTCTGGGTACGTTTCTATGTTTTATCATAAAATACAATTTTATTTTTCTTCAAAATTGTTGATCTCCTTCCTAAAAACCATAACAATCTGTATGCTTTTCATTTAATTACTGAATTTACTTAAATCATAATATGATCTTTAAAAGTAAGTTTGATCACATCATGATCTTTAAAAGTAAGTCAGCAGCCTGAATGAACTCCTAAACATGTAGTGCTTGGAACATAAATAACCTTTTCATCTTCTATAAGAACTGGTAAATCCGGCATTTTCATATTTGTGATTTGTAGTTTTCATGGTGCAGTCTCCTCTACTTTTAACATCAAACAATAAAGGGGTTAATAGATCAACATGCTTAGGCTCATCACTCAAACCCCCTGAATTTAAAAGCAAATTTACAAATGACTTAAAATTATTCTAATAATACTCACGAAAACTGTAGTAATACTCTCAATACTTGAAATCAAAATTATAATACCGCATACATATTCCTTTCTTTTCAATGCATGGTGGCTCACTTCACACATCTCGTCCGAGAGATGCTGATTAGGGAAAATCAGTTGCCGGGTAACCAAAACTAAACGCTCTCCAATTCTTGCGAAAAGAATAACAAACAAGCGCAAGCAAAAACAAGCAATAAACAAGGGACAATAGACAAAAAATTAAGTATTTTGCAGTGTCCAAAAAATAAAAGCAGTAAACCGGCTAAATCAGAGAAAAACCAGAGTACAATTTTACTACCTTTCAAACCGGTGATCTCAGCGCGATCATTCGCGAAGAAGAAGAGTTCAAGTTCTAATTTTAGTTGAGTTTTGTTTTAATTAGATAATTCGCCCATAATTTAGATGAACTATTTTAAGAAATTTTTAATATTAGACGCAAATATGACATTTTTCATTCTATTGATTTTACATTTACTTATCATCGAATTTAGTCAAGAAACCTCATCTAAATCTCTAGTGGGGACTGCTCTGTCACAATCGTTACCAAATGTTAGCGTGTCAGACGAAAATATAGACGCTTGGTATTATCTCAAGAATAGGTCCCAAGGGGATAACACTGCTTCAAAAAAGACCAAAGTGAAGTTGTCCAAGTATTTGAAAATTAAGATGAATGAGATTTTCATTGAAATGATCTATGACTATCAGAGGAATAGAAGATAGTGAAATCAGTTTTAGTTTCATGTGATATTGGGTGCCATTCATTGGCATGCCAAAATAGATCTAATTTCACACAAAAATCATGTCCTTCTCGGTGTCAAAAATGGATTGCTCAAAAATTGTAATAATTCACGGAATGGAAGAAAAAGTATCAGACAGAAAATAATTTAGGTATATGAAAAAGGAAAGATGTGAACCAAAAAAAAAAAAAAAAAAAAAAATCAAATTGAACACTTGATGAAACTCAAACGATCTAAATGGCAAACATTGTAGGAAAATGTCTAAAAGTTCTTCGAAATTCATGTTAACAGACTCGTTGAGTTATACTAAAATCGTCTTGGTTCTCTCTTTTCTTAGTTTTTAATTCGTTTTTTTGAGCCAAATACTTCTCAATTTGTTTCAGCTCAGAATTACTGGACTTACATTTATTATCGTTCATTTGATTTATTCTTACAATTAATTCAGCTCAAAACAAAATTCTGCTGTGTGAACAAAAATACCTTGCTGAACGTACTGTGCAGCTGAATATATTTTGTGTGCGTTTAAATTATTTTTGTAAAACAAAAAAAAAAATTTAGTGCCAACCACCTTTTTTCGTGGGCTTCATTACTCCTCATTTTTTTCAAGAATTATCTATAGTTCTGTTCGAAAAAGTCTCACCTTCCTATAAAATTGTCCACCATGTTGATCATTTTTTTTTCTTTTTCTGTAGGTGAGGATCCGATGATGAGCGACCAACAGCAGTACCATTACATGACAGCAGAAAACATGAAATCATTGCAAGATGACTCGCTAAAAATCGATGTAACTCGAGATGAACAGGGCGATGCTTTGCGGGATTCAATGGGTATGATGTTCCTAGTTTTACCTGGGATGCAAAAAATGACCAATGATTCTAACAACGAATCTCAATTAAATTAAGACAGATAATGGCATGTCCTTTATCATTAAATCTTGTAGAGTAAAAAAAAAGCCTTGCAATACTTCACGCCGAGAATTTAACAATAGTGACGTTTGAAAACTGTAAAAACAATAAATTGAAGATACAACACAAATGAGGGCTTATAACTGGAAACCACGTTGTGAGACAAACGCATTTGAAGTTTTGTTTCGCTGACTGTGCTATGCAGGTACCTGGTTTTGGTTATATTTTTGGGCAGCCTAACCCTTCTCTTCAAGGATGCTAGGTTGATGCTGTAACGCATTTTCTATTTTCGTTGGAACATATTTAATTTAAAGAATCAGTGTGTTAGGCCCATACCGTGCCCAACAATAATTTTAAGTGAAATAGCAAGTATACATCGTTATAATCAGGCAAGCTGAATCCAAAATGAAACTTTACTGATGCTTACTAAACAAAATGGTGCCAATGTTATGTTTTTATGTATCATCATCATTCAAAGGTCATATGGAAAATGGGTAGTTGAAAGAAAAAATTAAGGTCGTACGACTTTAGCAGCAATGAGTAAGTAGAGTTATCTCCATCGCCAATGTCGGTGAACCAAAAACAGCATAGCCAAGTTAAAGCATGCAAAAACGGCATTTATACGTAAAGGCCGTTCTTCCACCCCTTAGTTAGGAGTGTTCAAACGAATTTTTGCCGGTAAGCTATAGGTATTGTCTTAAATCGATACTTGTGGCGGTACCAATAGTGGCGATGATATAGTTAACAGCCGGCCCTATCAGAATTCTGAGAACCCGCAGTCAATGCATTGTTGCCCTGTGTGTCGGTTTGTCAGATCACCTGGCGCGGCGGTGCGTAAGACAGATGAACACTTGGCAACAGCTTAATTTTGTCAGCTCCAAAAACTCAGATCGCTGTTGGTCAGAGCGCTCTTATTGTAATTTTTACGTACCGGAATTGTTTTGGTAGCTTACCAACAACAGAACAGCCCTACCATGAGTCCAGATGCCTGACTCAACTCAGAAAAAAGAGTGGTTTTTACCGTCAGCCATTACCTAGTAATATCCCATGGATACCTCAGTACAGTCCAGGACATAGAGAATCCGATACGAACAATAAGAGCTCATATGCGAATAGGCGCGGGGTGAGGGTCCTTAATTCTCTCAACATGGGCATTTGGTACAGCCATCCTTATTTTATAAAATGCTTCATTTTACATTAAGTTCAGAAGGAGGGAACAAAGAATGTTTTGGCTTTTTTTTTCAAAAACGGTACATATGCTGTTCCTCTCTCAGTTTGTCTTTTGGTAAGTTTGTAAGATAGAGTGTTCATAGATTTGTTCCTGCTGAACTTCGTTTAATTCTCCTCTAACAGTATTTTATAAGAGAGAACTACCATTTCTGGCCTATTCATAAAAGCACGTATGTGCATAGGGAAACAACTGGTCCTGCTGCTATATCTGGCATGAGCCCAAAGTAGTAGTTCATAATTGTAAAATATAGACCAATTACATTTTCAACACTCCAAGTAACAGTAATCATTGATGTTTCTTTCCTGCAGTTCGCGATTATATTATCAACCAGCAACAGTACTCAAATCAGCAGCTTTCACCTAACCTGTCAGCGATATCAAATCTCTCTGACAATGTTGACATTTCCAAAACTGCAATTCATGTTGGGTAAGTTCACCCTCCAACTTCTCAACTTTGGGTGTCTAGTCAGTGTTAGAAAAATTGCTTACCATTGCATTCTTAAAGCTTCTTACAGCCCATCATCTGCATAAATCTGTTTCTATTTCAGGTGTAATTCCCTCTGTTGTTCTCTTACCTTCCTGAACGTCCTTGCTTACTTTATACAGATCTTTTCACATAAAATAGACTAGACTTAGTGCAGCTTCCTTCAGACTTCATGAGGGGCTTTGCTTTAGGGTCGGCCCAAAGTTTTTTCTGCTCAGAATCGTTTGCGGCCAGTAAGGATACGGTCTTAGGGGGAAAATGATGAACATTCGTTCGAATTGCATAAAAAAGTTTCAGTTTTCTGAGGTTTCGAATTGACCATTTTCATATTCGTCTCCTCTTTTCAATCCATCTCTTTTATCTTCCTCATTTTCATTTTACCAAAAAAAAATCCTTATACAGTAAACTCTGGATTATCCGGATTAATTGGTGCCGGGCCCGATCCGGATAATAATAGGAAACACAAACACCACCAACCAACACCACAGTATTCTTATTATGTATACACCATGTACATACCAACTTAAACGGGCTTGAAGTAGGCAGTCAACGGTATCTGCCTTTTAGAATCCGCGTGTTTCTTGGATGCCAAATGGCTTCGTCTACTTTTGGGTATTTTCCAGTTTTCATTGTTTTACGATTTTTTAAGGAGTTGTTAGGAGAGCATACGTAGTTACATGGTTGCAAAATCGATCCGGATAATCCAGAGTCTGGATAATACGAAGCCGGATAATTCAGAGTCTACTGTAATTGCCATTTAATTGCCACATCAGCATAATGTGGCTATTTTAAGGGGTTGTCAACAAATGTATTTTAACAGTAGATGCTGCATCCTCTGTTCAGTCTGACCACATCCATTTTTAATCAAACAGCATCCAATATCGTCTTTCAGCAGGAAAGAATTCAATCAAAGCCACATGATTTAGGATCTCTCCTTACATGCGTTGCAACTGAGAAATCCAGAATTCAAGGATTTGAACTTGATTGAATATCAAAAAGCGGCCATGTGGAGTCAGGCTTTTCAGTGTAAATTGGAAATATTAACTTTGATTGAGATTAGTTCAGTTTTTTTATTTATTATCATTTAAACACAAATTTCGTCATCAGCATTGATTTCAAATGTACGATTCATTATATTGTGATATGGACCTACCTGTGAGCATGGTCCTGGTCCCCCTCATTAGTTCTTTGAGAAGTTGGTCTTCGATTTCATCAATTTATCAGGCAATTTTGATTTAATGTTTTTCTTTCTCATTGTAAATAGTCAAAATTCAGTTGAAATATCCGAGTCTTATTTCTTTGACAGTGCAATTCTTTGAGACTCAACAAACTTACTTTGTTGGTCATAGAATCCTAAGTTTGTAACCATGTGCTGTCTCAATACATACACCGGAAATGAAGCTTCGCTAATTTAATAAGTGCGTAATACCGATGACCAAACTGAATGATCACACTTGTTGCTATCACATTTATTTAGAGTAGCAGTTGTTGCTAATATACAGTTAATTTATTTGTTTACATATCTGCTTTGGTGTAAGTGAATTTAAAGTAGCCCAAAAAAATATACATATGAACTTGTCCTGCAAAAAAAGGCAAAAATTGAAATAGAAAAAGTCAAGACGTTTTGCCTGAATTTTTCAGGTATTTTCGATCTAAAAAAGAGAAAAAGAAAACAAGGGTGAAATCTAAAATACGATCATGATACAATCATGACCGGTGTTGTGTGGTATTGGGAGGCCATAGAATAGTAGCTACCAGAAAGGTAACGGGCAGTTTCTCCCGTAAGATCGTTTACGGTCACTTTTTTGAAGTGGACATGGGCGTGATTCCCCTCAAAATTTGAAACAACAGGCTGAGTGGGGGTCGCAGGGATTTCAAGAATCAGTGCAAAAATGGCCGACTGCTGCCCCTCTGGTAGCTATTTTTCTATGGCAAGGCACTACTGGTGATTATGTTACGAAACCAGTTAACAGACCAAGAGAAAAATAGAGTGATCACTTCGAATACTCATCAGTTAGGCCTCTGTGGCAGGAAAAACTGATGGCATGCGAAACCAAGTTTTTCAACATCAGTCCTGAAGTTACAAGTAGTTTTTCTCAAGGATTTTATCTATTACTGTAAGTCCTTTTGAGTATCATGTTATAAACTTTTTCCAAGGGGTATATGCAAAATCGGCAAAATGTCCCCCCCTCATGGATTTTGACCAATTCTCAATTTGTCATTCCTCATTACAAGACACACCATTTCCCTAATTTCAAGGCCGAAAATGAATTTCTTTCCGCGTAGCAGTCTTGCGAAGTTGAAAACTGTTAAGTTCCATATCTTTCATATGAAAAAAGATATTGAGGTGCGGTTTGCGCTGAAATTCTTCAAAAATTGCGTTCTTTTGAAATACGCGGTCAATTTGATCGTTTAGGTATTTTAAAATTGCAATGATGCCTGTTTTCTCACTTCTTAGGGTTCAATTTTTTTTCAACCTTAGTACATTGTCCAATGCTGGATTCTCGATTCGAACAAAAAACTGTTCATTTTATTTGTCGCACTTTTCCGTAGATTTTGATATATTATACCTCCCAGGGAAACGATTGGTACGTTAGGTATGAGCCATCAAAGTTTACATTTTGTGCGTGCTGACTGGAATGATGCCATTGCTGTCGACCATAAACAAATAATATGAATGTCTCATCCCTCCTGGTTCTCCCCTACATCGACTCCTTGAAATTTCAATTCTTCTTGTAAATGTAGTGAAGTGTCAATATGTTGATCATGTGTGATCAACGACTAGAAGCCCGCGGCAACATCAATTCAACAAGAAAAATGGCAAACACAAGATGAGATTTAGGCCCCTTTGCCTCTCTTCCCCCATGCCCTCCTTCTTAACTCGTAATACATTCCTATGCTCATCTGGAAATTTAAGTTTCCATTTCAAACTAGATTTGATCACCGAAGCGCATATCCAAAAACAGGCCATTTTTTGGAGAGCGCCACGGAAAAAGCGTACAATTTTCGGCTCTGAAAAGTAACTTTAGGCCTCCAAAATTTACTGTATGACTAAAATTGGTGGTATAAGTGTTCAAGTAACTTCCAACTTCCATTTAAATCGGTAAAATAAAACAACAATTTTCGAAAATACCTACTGGCCATAAGTATTATGAACATCGAAACTGCTACATTTCAGAGCGCAGTTATTAGTATAGACACTGAAATCGGAGAATTCAACTTAGCTTCCATTTACACTCCACCCAAATCTATATTACATCCTGAAGATTATTTTAGTTTTTTGAGTGAACTGGGTCCCACTTTTATGGTAGCGGGAGACTGGAACGCTAAGGATCCTCGTTGGGGATCCAGAATCACAAATCCAAAGGGTAAATCCCTCTTAGAAGCGGCTAATATGTCTGATTGCCAATTTATTTCTCCAGGTAAACCAACTAATTACCCTTACGACCCTAAGCATAATCCAGACATTATCGACTTTTTTATTGCTAAGAATTTAAACTTAATTGATAAAACCTTGTGTGATACTTTACCACCCCCGTTAAGTGGTCATGCTAAAATTATTCTTAACATCTTTACGAATCCTCTCCTAGTCAACAGACCTCCCACCATTTGTTCCAAAAGAACAAACTGGGAGAAATTTAGAGAGGATCTTGATAAAATTATAGATAATAGCGTTCCAGTCACCACTCCAGCGGTCATAGATAAGGAGACTGCGCTGTTAGTGGAACAAATTAAACAATGTGCAATAGATAATACACCTGTTGCAGTTAATAATCCCCGTCCATACAATATTCCTAAGGATCTTCTGAACTTAATTAGAAGAAAAAGAAAAGCACACAGAAAGGCAGTTGAATCTGGTATCCCAGAAGGTAAAAGCCATTTCAATCGCTTAAACAAAATTGTAAAAAAACGTACTCAGGACTTTCTCAATTTTAAATTTCAGAATTTTATCGAATCTCTCTCTCCTTTAGCCGATAAAAATTATTCTCTTTGGGCAACCACAAAATATCTAAAACGCCCCAAGCAACTAAAATTCCCCATTGAGAAAAAATATGGAACTTGGGCAAGTTCTGACGTTGAAAAAGCGGAAATTTTAGCGGATCACTTTGAAAACGCCTTTAAACCACACAGTGACATCAATGCTGAACTTTCCTCTGATTCGGAGGATACTTCCACTGACAGCTCAGTCTCCAACCTGCAAATGCAGGGGGAGGTATCAACATTGAGACCCCGAAAAAAGGTCAAGAAAATACCTCCAATCAAGATTAAAACCATTTCTCCTTCTGAACTTATAAAAGAGATCAAAGGAAAAATTAAGGTGAAAAAAGCCCCTGGCTTCGATAAAATTTCGGGAATGATCTTAAAAAATCTTCCTAAGAAAGCCATCATGAAGCTGGTCTCTATCTTTAATGCGGTTTTAAGATGTAAATATATTCCTTCGCAATGGAAAATAGCCGAAATTTTTGTATTATTAAAACCTGACAAACCTCCAGCTGAAGCAGCCTCGTATAGGCCAATCTCGTTATTACCTGTGATTGGCAAACTCTTTGAAAGGTTGTACATTAAAAGACTAAATGAGATAGTAAAAGACAAAAATTTAATATTAGATGCCCAATTTGGCTTCAGGGCACAACATTCTACTGTTGACCAGCTTCACAGGGTCACAAAATTCATCGAAGATTCCCTTGAAAAAGGGGAATATTGTGTGGCGGTTTTTCTTGACGTGGCGCAGGCATTTGATCGTGTTTGGCACGAGTGTCTCGTTGAGAAGCTATATAAAATGCTCCCTTGCAACCATGTGGAGCTCCTGTCCTCTTTTCTGTCTGGAAGACAGTTTAGAGTAAGATACGAAAACTCAGTATCAAATTTCAGGCGGATTGAGGCGGGGGTTCAGCAGGGTTCCTGTCTTTCTCCTCTTCTCTACTCTCTCTTCACTACAGACA